ATTTTCCCCAAACAGTGGAAGCTTTTAGTGCCAGAAGCTCTATTTTTGGCTCAAGTGGCCTAGGATGGCCTCTTCCAGTATGACTGTGCCTATTTACATATGGAAAAGTCATTCCAGAGCGCGACTGTATTCTCTCTGTGCAGTTTCGGGGTTGTGCGCACAGCTTCCTTTTTGAAAACAGGTGGCTCATTTGCAAAAGATGAGTAACAGTGGTGTAACAGTGCACACATTACAAGCTGATTAACAAGGAGAGGGCAGCAAGAGCACATGGATTTCCCGAAACTCCCACCTGGAGCCAAGTGACCCGAGAGAGGTCTTGGGGTCTGGGCCTCAGGCTCATTTTTCAAATAGGGTACCAGCACCTCGGCAGCTGCCAGCAAGTGTTTTCAGGATAAGTGACAGCCTTTTGCCATGTTTTGAATGTGCTTTGAGTATGTTCCCCAAGGAACTCCCCATGTGTTACTTGGTCCCCAGTGTGTCTACGTGAAGAGGTAGTGGAAACATTAAGGCCTAGCAGGAGGTCCTCAGACTACTGCAGAGGTGGGGTGGGCACGGCCCTCAAGGGATTAAAGCAGTTCTCATGGAACCCTCAGTCAGTTCTTCAGACAAAGTGAGAGTGAAAACAAGGGACTATAAAAGAGTAAGCGTGGCCCCTTCTCCCACTTTGGCATCCTACCTCACCATGTGACCTCTCCTCATACACATGCCCACCATTGTAATGACATGTACCACATCACACATCACCAGAGCTCGCACCATGCTGTCTGGACCTTCAGCTTCTAAAACAACTACGTCTCTTTCTTTACAAATTACCTAGTCTTGCGAATTTAATTATAGTAATAGAAAATGGACTAACACATCTCCACAGAGTGCTTCACCTTTCTGGACACTGCGTACCTGAACCTAGGTTGTATATACACAGCAGATCATTGGGGGCTTCCTGAACCCTCAGATCTGTGCCTGAGTCTACAGTGAGGACCTCTGAAGCAAGAAAAACGTAGTTTGTGCCCAACACTTAGCCAAAGCATGTCATATTTAGTCCTTCTGACTAAACTCTCCCAAATAAATCGTGATTCATCCTGCCCTTCCTGATTCTGACCTCTGCTCCCTATTCAGAAGGGAAGGAATATATTAGTTTCCCCACTGCTGAACACAACGTACACCTAAAAAGTAGAAGAGGTTTAATTTGGCTCATGCTTCAGGAGATCCAACCCAGGGTCAGTCAGCCAACTCTAAAGCAGAAACATCATGACAGGACATGAAAGAGGAAAGCCCCTCACATCGTGGCAGCCAGAAGGCACAGAGAGAAGGAAAGAGCCAGGGACAGGAATACAACCTTCCAGGTCACTCCTTCAGTGCCCACCTCCAACTAGGCCCCACCTCCTGACAATTCAGCCCCATGATCCAATCACCTCCCCAAACTCCTACCTACATGAGACTCCTGGGGGACATTTTAGATGTAAATTGTAACATTCTGTCCCTGGCCCCCAAAAGACTCATGTCCATCTCATTATACAAAATGCATTTAGTCCATCTCTAAGAGTTGACAAAGTCTTAACAGTTCCAGCACTGCTGAAAAGTCCAAGTCCAAAGTCTCTTTTGAGGCTTAAGGTAAATTCTTAGCTGTGAGCCTCTGTAAAAAAACAAAAATAAATACTTCAACATACAGTGGCACAGGGTAAACATTCCCATTCCAAAAGAGAGGAGTAGGGGATAGAAAGGAATTGGACCAAAGCAAGATCAAACCCCATCAGGACAAACATTAACTCCTGTAGCTTCATGTCTAGCCAGATGTGAACTCCAAAGGGTTTGGACAGCCCTGCCCCTATTGCCTTGCTGGTTGCAGTTCACATGGACTCTCTCTTCATCTGGCTGTGCTCACTGCCTGTGGCTTTCCTTAGCAGAAAATCCACATTCCTGGCACCTTCAATATCCTAGGCTCTCTATTTCACCTTCAGCTTCACTATTAGTATTTTTTGGTACCAGAAATCGAACTCAAGACCTTGCCCTTGCCAGGCAGGCACTTGTGCCACTGAGCTACATCCCTGGGCACCATCAGCTTCACTTTTTTTGTTTTGTTTTGTTTTTTCCAGTACTAGGAACTGAACTCATGACCTTGCGCTTGCCAGGCAGGCACTGTGTAAATCCCCAGCCCCCAGCTTCACTCTTAACAGTTCATGTACTGCCACGCTCTCAGGGCACGTTACTTAGCCTCCCAGACCTTCCTTTTGTATCTGGGTGGAAGCCTGTATGACCTCAAACTCATATTCTGCATGTCTGAAAAAGTAGCATCCTATGGATGACACCAAGATCTGCAACCATGTATAGCAATAACCTGTCCCCTCTGGACCAAGGCTGCAGTGGCCTCTGTGTGCCTGGATGGCTGAACTGAAGGAAATACTTACCTAGGCAGCCCTGAATGAGCAGGCATTCTGGGGCTCTCTTCTTAAAGCAAAGTCTTTCAAAGTTTACCCTTTGTAACCTTGAGCCTGTGATCTGAGGAGTCTGGCTATTTCCTGAGATGCCCTCAAGGCATCTTTCTTACTGTTCTGATACAAAGTACCCTGTTGAGAAGGACATTCTTTGATTAGAACGCAATGAAGACCTTGAGTTTACAATCCTCCTGTCTCAGCCTCTTGAGTGCTGGGATTATAGGCCTGTCTCAGATTACATGTGGAAAAGGAAAATCCTTTGATTACCCTTGCTAAAAAAAAATTTTTTTTTGTATCCACCCATTAGTACTAGCTATGCCCTAGGTTCTCACTCAATAAAAGGTGACTGAAATTGGTAGGCAACGACAGTCCTAGCAGCAGCAGTCCTAATGGCTGCAGTCTGAGAGGCTGTCAGCCCCTGATCCCAGACTTTTGCCTCTCTTGGTTTTCTTCTCTCTCTTTTACTTTTCTCATTCATCAATAGTACCCAGCTTCTTTTCAGTGGTGCTAATTGTTTTAGCAACAGTTACACCTACTTTTGACCCAAATTTACATATGAAGTCATTAAAGCCAAGATTTAAGTTTTTCAAATGTTTCTTCTCTGCCCTCTGCCCCCAATTCTCACTATAAATCTGGCTAAAGGAGTCAACAGTACTCATACCACAGCATGAATGCTGGGCTGTCTTGAAATTCCCCCACCAGATTAATTAGTCCACTGCTCTTAAGCTCATTCTTCTGAAAAGTCTCAGGACATGGGCAAAATATAGAGAAGTTCTTTGCCAGGTAGCATGCAGGGTCTTTAGTCCAGTTTCCAATAGAGATCTTATTCACAATGGAAACTTCATGAGCCTGGCCTTTACTGTCCACATCCTGGTCTTCTGAGCTCTAACCAGAATCATCTATCAAGCTCTTCTTATGGCATTTTAAGGCTTCTCTAGCCACATCTCCAGACATTCCTAGCCTTTTCCCAGAAACTAGTTCCAAAGGCTTCTAAACCACATGGCAAGGTATCAGCACAGCAATGACCCCACTTCTCTGGCACCAGCCTTGTGTATTAATGAGTTTTCCTGTTGCTGGACACAACACCGGACATCCACAACTTAGAAGTGGAGAGATCTGATTTGGCTTATGCTTCAGAGAACTCAGTCCAGGGTTGGCCTGCTGCAAAGCAGAAACATCACTGTGGAAGGGTGGGCCAGAGGAAAGCTGCTTAACCCATGGCACCCAGAGAACAGGATAGTGGATCCAGGGACAAGAAAACACCCTTCTAGATTACTGCCCCGTGAGTTCCTTCCAATCAGGCCCCACCTCCTGATAGCACATTCAGCCATAAACTCACTGACAGAGTAACCCACTGATGTGTACAGTACCCCATGACCTAATCACCTTCTAAAAGCCCCACTTCTGAATAGATGAGAATTGAGGGAGATATTTTAGATCTAACCCACAACAGGGAGAGGGAGAAACATGGCCCATTCTGTATCCACAGCCTGAAGCTCAGAGCGGCTCCTACGCTAACAAATAGCTAAAGCCATTCCCTCCCCACATGACCCCATCGATCTTTTAAGCAACACCCTCCTCCATGGTATCTGTTAATGGCTGGGTGACCCTGGCTCTCCCTCTGCCATGCTGTCCCCTTATGTCACCATTGTCCACGTTATTTAGAGAAGAGTAAGGGAGTCAGGTAAGATGCCAGCCAGGCCCTCCCACCCCTAATCTCTGAATGACGGCCTCCATCACTGATTACGGGGCTTAGCCTTCCAAAGGCTCAGGTGCCTGTTCCTATGATGGTCAAATGAATTCTAATCAGAAAGGTACTAATAACTCTAATGCATACCAAGCACTTCCTATGTACCTGGACTTTACATTGTAACAGAAGAACTCCAATGGTATTGCACCACACTGTAATTAAGACCCCCTCAAACGCCACAGTCTCAGGTACAAAGCAACTCACAAGACCTCTGCAGACTTCTTCCCTCTCAAGTGCTTCTGCTGCTGAGTCTGCAGGGAATGCTTTGCTCCTCCTCTGCACTGCTCCCTCGGTCCACCCTAGGGTCTCTCCCTACCCAGGGTCCCCGTGCCAGGATGCCCTTCCAATCCATTTCCTCACTCATCACATTCACAGAAAGCATGTTCTGCTACTTACTCAAGAAGCTTCTTCCCTTACTTTCAAAAAAGCCTGACCTAGGTATGTTGGGAAACAAAATCTTTCACCTTGTTATGCACCTATGACCTCTTTTAATCCTCCACAACCACTGGAAGAAACAGCAAGACCCAACAGGTCACTGGATCTAGCAGTCAGATGCTTAGCAAGGTGATGTCACATGTGCTTGGTATACGTTAATTGTTCTCCCTGCCTCTGGCCACATAATGTCTGCTCAAGAACTTTCAAAGGTTCTGACCTGCTACCTGTTTAGTAAAGTTTGGAAAACAGCCACACCCAATCATTTGTGTACTTTTCTACAGTTGCTTTCATGATACAGAGCTGAGTCATTGCAACACAGACTACAAGACCCACAACCCCCAAAATATTTACCTTTGGCTTCTTACAGAGTTTGCTGAGCACTAGCCTACAGAGTAAGACAGAACACAGACTGTGTCTCATGCTCCTCTGAATCTGCTACATAGCAAGTTCTCGGTAAGAATTCCACAGTCATCTTGGAGCCAGAGTGTTAAATGCAGAGATCGCTAAATACAGTGGAGCACCCAAATTTTCCTGGTCCAAAATAGGACACGCCATCCTTGCCAGTCACATCCACAACTGCTGTCCCTTACTCAACTCTCCAGAGTCCTCTGGGAAGCCAAGGGCCTTAAATCCATGGCCTCCTTACCCTCTTATAGCTGCACCCGTCTGAGCAAAAAATTTCGTATTTTCTGTGTGCGTGCGTGTGTGTGTAACACGGAAATAGCTTTAAATCCAACAAATAAAATTTTAATGCTGAGCATACTTTTCAAACTATACTCACCATTTATGAAAGTCACTGATCTTGTCCAACTTGTTCATTTTACAGCAGGAAATAGAGAACTCAAGATGACTAAAGGGGCCCAGGAAACAGAAACAAGGCCAGGTCTTCCAGGGCTCCTGATTCCCAGTGCAGGTCCTCAGGTGCTCCTCAGAGTCCGCTCCATGCCAGGGGTGGGGGAGGTGAGTGTGAGCAGGTTCTGTTCTGTCACAGCCTCTGCCAGTCCCCTCAGTGCTGACAAGCTAACCTATGAGGGAAACGACTTGGTACCTCATCTGTGGTTCAGAGGCTAGGAGGAGACAGCAACCCTGAATTCCAGCCCTAGCTCAGTGACAGATGGCTGTCTACAGGGACTGAGGAGCCCTCTTTAATTCTATCCCCACTGTGTCATCTCTAGCCTGCCTACACCATCATAGGCTGCCTGCCTCACCCTTGACGCCTTCTGTCATGCTTCCCACTGTCTGATGGCTCCTTTATGTCCTCCTCCTGTAGTCATACCTGTCAGAGAGGCCCAGCCCGACACTAAATATTTATTTATATATTTATTTATTTATTTTTTGAGACAGTGTCTCATTATGTAGTGCAGGCTGGCCTTGAACTCACCTATGTAGCCTGGCTGGCCTCATACAGCAATCCTCATGCTTCTGTCTCCTGAGTGCTGGGGTCATAGGCCTGCCCCACCATGCCTGGCCAGTTACTCATTTTAAAAATCTAATAGGACTCATGAAATACTGGATTTCTTGACACTCTCTGTATCTTTCCAATTTTAGTATATGTCCTGCCAAAATGAGCACCATTTCTTGACTCTTTCCAAGAACGGAGACTGGCAACAGCATCCCTGCCTTAGTTTCCAGCATGACATCAACTGGGACAAAGGATCAGGTGCTTCATCTGGACAGGGAGCGATCACATCTGGTCCCAGCATACTTACCATTCTCTGCTGCCCCCAGCCCTGCTGATCTGCTCCTTTAGATGACCTGCTCGATCTTAGAAGGTGTGTCTACAGCCCTAGTTTCGACCACTTTGGTCTGAGTCCCCTGTATAAGGAGGTACGACCCTCCTGCCCTGAGAGCACCTCCCCTGCTAAGCTCACCCACATCAGCTTCTCTGCCCATCTGTTTTCTCAGCCCAGCCCACAAGTATTAGGAAAGATGAGTTGCTGCTCCCAAACCTCCCTGGACCACCAGCTCAGCCCTCCAGCACCCCACCCTCCAAGCCCCTCAACTCCCACAACTTGTGTTCATTCAGAAAACATAGCAGACAATCCAATATCCTTTATTGGTTCTAAAGAAGGAACCCCACATTCTTATACTTAGGCGGGAGTTACTGGATCTTGTGCTGGGGTGCTGAGATGGCTTGGACAATCCTAAGTGGGGGGAGGTCTTTCTGGGGTGCCATAAAAATGGGATAACGTGGTTTAACCTTCTTGTTGATGCTATACAGATCCAGGACCAAAGATTTAGGGTTGTAGATCCTTTTCTTCTGTGGCTGGACTGGGACGAATGGGGCCTTTTGGCGAGGTTCTACCAACAGCCGCACCAGGTCCTTCCGAAAGATATTCCAGCTGTTCTCCTTAAGGAACCTCTGGCACATTTCTTCATCGCTGAAGGGTAGGCACAGAAGCTGAGGTGTTGCTCGAGCTCCTCCCTCGCCCCCGCCCTACAGCCTTGTCTCTGTCCCTAACAAACTGGGCCCCATCCACGGTCTCTGCTGTTTCCCCCGCTCCTCTGTCTTCTCTGCTTTTGTACAACCATTTTCCTTTAGACTTGTGCTGTCCTATGCTGTGGCCATGAGCCACATATGGCTACTGAATACCTGAAATGTGGCCAGTCTGAATGACAGATGTGCTGCAGGTGTAAAACACTTCAGATTTTATACACTTAAAACTAAAGAATGGAAAATATCTCAATTTTATGTTGACAAAATACAATATGTTGCAATAATAATACTTTAAACCCAATAAAATATATTAAAATTAATTTCACCTATTTCTTTTTATATATTATAATGTGGCAACTGAAAAATGTACATATATGATTACTAGCCAAAAGGGAAATATAAATCAAAACCATGATATGCCATTTATACCCAGTAGGACGGACTAACAATAAATATTGATAAAGATTTGCAGAAATTAGAATGAGGATTCCAATACATTGCCAGTGAGTATGTGAACTGGTACAGCCATTTTGTAAAATAGTCTGACAGTTCCTCAAAAGGTTAAATATACAGTTACCATATGACCTATTAATTTACTCCTAAGTTTTATAAAAGCCAAAAAAGTAGAAATAATCCAAACATTCATCAGCTGATAAAGTGGTAAAGTATAGTATATACATATTGTATGAGTCCATTTATATGAAATGTCTAGAACAGGAAAATCTATGGAGACAGACAGCAGATTGGTGGCTGCTTTGGGGTTGGTTATGGTGCCCCGGCCAGATGCTGAATCCTTCGGGAGATGGACTCAATTCCCATTGGCTTATTTCCTTCTGAGACCGCAGCAAGTGAAGGGCATATTAAGCTCTACTGATTTGCCTATAACTCTCCGAAAATTTGCTTGTAATTCTTTGCCTGTAACTCCACTTTGCCTGTAACTCTCTAACAGTCCAGAATGTTCTACCATCTAGATTATACTGACCAAGACAAAGTCAACTGATCCATACAAATAAACCTATGTAAAAACTCGTAAAGGTCAGAATGGGCTGCACGTGGCTAGGAGTATACCTAATTGTGTGCATCTCTTCTCAACTCTATTCTGAGTGACATCAGGAGGTAGCTTGAAACTGGCTGTGGTGGGCATATTTATACCACAGAAATCAGCAAAAATTGCCAGTCATTTTCCTCTCACTTCCTGGAGAGCTGGTTGCCAAATATTTACTGGCATACCACGGTATCACCTCCACTCGGTAAGTTCCATTAATTCCCAACTTCTTACATAGTGAATAACAGTATCTGACTTTGACCTAGTACTTACCGTATTTTAGCAGTCTAGAAAACCGTGAGTGAAACAATTAATGAGGAAGACAGAATTCCTGCTGTCAGCATTATGAATGACTACGGCAAAGTGCTGACTGGGCTATGCAGGCGCTGAGCGCGCAAACATCTGTGTGCTCAAGCCTCCGAGCCTGCTTGGAATTTCAAGTCCATAAACAGAGACACCATCCAGGGTTAGGCATCAACTGAGGGGCCTCAGTTTCATTTTTTCTTTTTCTTTCTTTCTTTCTTTCTTTCTTTCTTTCTTTCTTTCTTTCTTTCTTTCTTTCTTCTTTCTTTCAAGGTAGCAATGTTTTATTAAAGGTAGGAAAAGAAACAGGCTCTGCAGAGTAAGTTTGGGCCAAGTAAAAGTAGGAAAAGAAGCACAAGCTACAGTGTGAGGGTGGGCCACCGTGCAAGAGAGGACACAATAGGGGCCAGGGATATAGCTCAGTGGCACAAGTGCCTGCCTGGCAAGCGCAAGGTCCTGAGTTGATTCCCAGTACCAAAAAAAAAAAAAAAAAAAAAGTGGACACAGTAGCCATCGTCTTCTTTATCAAGTCAGTTTGAATAGCCACTTTCAATCCTGGCAGTACACAGGAAGCAGAGGACTATGGTACCTCTCAACCAGAAGAAACCACCAGTGAATCTCCACTTGTTTGGCCATATCTACATATAATCTGTTCTTTAAAATACTGTGATTTTTCTTAAATCTACTCAGTTTCTTTCATTCAAATATGTACTTTAGCTGTCTCAAGCAATAAGATCTGTCCAATCCTAGGTTTAGTGAGCTGAAGACTAAAAATGCTAATCCATGTACCACCTAAAATCATCTTACACACCTGCTGTAGAATATGATCTACACTTTGACAAGCACTGATCTAGTCAAGTTTTCTAGTTTTCCTGACTGAACTCTGAAGCCTAGAGGAGGGGAAATGACTTGTCCAAGATCACAGCTCTCATACCAAATTCTTTCACATGCTTATTGGACATGGCTACAAGAATCTACAAATCTACCTGGCTCTACAGTTCCTCTTGCTGTACTACTGGAATCACCTGCTTCCCACCCCTGCTGGAAAAATCAAGTAAGTGTATATACATGTGCTACAAAGGCATAGTCATAGTGCTACCCTTTTCAAGTATCACTATCTTATCCATTTTACCCTTCAATTATACAGCCATTAAGCTTGCCACCTTTGAATAAAAGTTATATTCTAGTAAGTGACTACACCACAATTTTCTAAACTATCCCTTTAGTGTGACATATATGGGTGGTGGCTGTTAATTTCCTATTATTAATATGACTGCCATGAGTAGTTTAATATACATAGTTTTCCCCATATTTCAGCTTTCTAAAGACAAATTCACACACACACAAAAAAAATAGAAAGACAAATTCACAAGTGGATCATTGCCTGAAATGGGACAGTTTTGTATCCCCTGAAACACAATGCTAAAATTGGCCAAAGGATTGAGCCAAGTTAGAGTGTAACAACCACTAGTTTCACTTCATCCTTATCAATATTCATTTTTTCCTTTCTTGCTTCTTTTTTCTTTCCTTTCTTTCTCCCTCCCCTCCCTTCTCCTTTCCTTTCCCTCACAAAAGTAACAGGTAAAATTTGTTCAGCACTGACCTGGGGTATTCAACATCCATTGTTGTCAATTTTTTTCTTGTCTCATCATCAATCAATTCAAGAAATTTTTCTCTCCTTAACTCGATCAACTCAGCTCCCAGGCTCACCAGAATAAAGGGCCGCATGTCACGTTGGTTCTCTGGGAGGAAGGCCTGGTGAAAGCCCTAGGGAGAAGTCAGAGAAAGCTAGACCTCAGAGATCAACCAATTCTAGCAGTGGATTTTCTAGATGGGAGAAATAAGACCTCAAATGGAAGATGAGAGCACCCGGAGGTCACTGACCACGTGCTCGGGCAGGGCAATCCAGGGCTCCTTTTGCTACATGACATCACAGTCCTCAGAGGTCCTGAATCAGAAGAGCCCTAAGCACTTTCTCCAAGGTCTCACTCTGTACCAAGAACTGCACTCACACTGCTACTCTTGAGCTTGCTCCATGTCCAATTTCAACTTACCTTTTCGTTTGTTTCCTTTTCTTTTTTTTGGAAGACAGGGTCTTGCTACATTGCTGTCTGGTCTTGAACTCTGGGCTCAAGTGATCCTCCTGCCTCAGCCTCCCAAGTAACTGGGACTAGAGACACAGGCTACTGTGGATAGCCCTCAATTCTTTTTGCCAAGTAAAACTGTTTTCCCTTCTTCAAAATTTACAACAATAAAATAAAAATAAAAAATTTTATTTTATTTATTTGTTTTTTTCTTTTTGAGACAGGGTCTTGCTATGCAGGTCAGGCTGGCCTTGAGCTCACTTTGTAGCCCAGGCTGGTCTCGAACTTGCAGCAATCCTCCTGCCTCAGCCTCCCAAGTGCTGGGATTACAGGTGTGTGCCAACACGCCCAGCCAAAAAATAAAAAAATTTTAACCAGCTAGCCCTCTTCTAGAGCTCCCCTTTTGAGCTGCCCCCACCACAACCCCATCCTTTCCATAGCCCCCAATCTTCTCTCCATCTCTCACAGACTGCAGGGACCTCTGCCCTCCTGTCTGAGGCTCATGTAATACTTCCTCCTGGTCTTTGGCTTGATTCATACCCAATAATATCTGGCAGGGAGATGATGGTTTACAGCTACATGTGCCCCAAAGCCTCGTATGCTCAGAGGCAGAGCTTTCGGTAGGTGACTGGATATGGAAGTGTGATACTCATCCCTGGGTCAGTCCACTGATGAGTTTGTAGCTACATGTGAGGTTAGGAGTGCTGCCTAGTGGGAGGAGGTGGGTCACCCTGACGCAGCCTGCAAGGGTCCATCTCCTCCCGCTCTGCTTCCCACCGCCACACCTGGGCAGTCCTCCTCCGCCACACTGCCCTGCCGCGAGGCTAGCCAACCACAGACTGAAGCCTCTACAAACCATGAGCCACGATAACCCTCTGCTCCTTCAAGCTGTGGTGCTGGGTACTGTGTCTCAGCGACAGAACAGTAAATAAGATAGAGACAGTGACCCATGGGCATTTCTGTCTACAAGAAAGGCAAGCTCCCCAACCCTTTTTTTGAGACAGGGTCTTGCTATGCAGTTCAGGCTGGTCTTGAGTTCACTTTGTAGCCCAGGCTGGTCTCAAACTCTCAATGATCCTCCTGCCTCAGCCTCCTGAGCGCTGGGACTACAGGCATGCGCCACCACACCCAGCAAGCCCTTTTTTAAGGAAGCACCTTGAGATAGGAACCCTTGCAGCTAAATTCCTAGTCTAGTGCCCTTTTCCAGCCACTCAGGTATTAGTGAAGCTTCAGGTATAAGGGGCGGGGGGAGTGGCCACACAGCCTCCAGAGCTCGGCTATCTTGGGCCTAAGAAGAAAAGGGACCGAAAACCAAGAGACTTGTTCATGGAGGCCATTTGGGATTGAGAATAACCCCGGTTTCAGAGCACACATCTAAATTTTCACTCGGTATATGGCTTTAGGCTATGGTTGGTTTGCCTAAAAAATGAAAGTGCGAATATCTGCCTTATAGACTTTGAAAGATTCTGAACTTGAAAAGAATGTGGAGTGGGGTCTGGAGCACCCTGCTCCACCTCCCCTCTGCCCACTGCTGCCCCCATCTGGTTTCTAGACCGCGAAGAGTGACTATCGACACTCAGGTGCTCCTTCAGAAGGGGCTGAAGGTCTAAACAGGACTGTGTGAGAAAGCTCTGGCGACAGCAGGCACTTCACACTGGTGGCATCCAGAACAGCAGGCATGATGGCCTGCCTGCCTGATGCCAGGCCTCGCATGCAGATGAGTGGCTGCCCTTTAGCCAGCTCCTATTGTGTGGAGGAAATATGTATGCATTTAAACCTAGCACACAGGGACTATCATTCTCCAATGTGGAGAATGAGAGTTAGGAGAGGGGATGTACTTGTCCACAGTCACACATCTTACACTTACAACAGTGATAGCACCAGCTGACAGGCACTGAACTTCCACTAAATTCCCGGCCCTCTGTGGCTTTTGGCTATATGGCACTGAGATTCAGAAAACTGTCCTCCATCACATAGCAGGGCCCTTTTTTATTTTATTTTTTATTTTGAGACAGGTTCTCACTTTGTAGTTCAAATTGGTCTTGAACTCACTCTGTAGCCCAGGCTGGCCTTGAACTGGTGGCGATCCTTCGGCCTCAGCCTCCCAAGTGCTGGGATTACAGGTGTGCCAACATGCCTGGCTTACCTGTGTGGTGGTCCTGTGTAGGGAAGAGGAGGCCAAGCCCTTGTGCTGAGTCCCCTCAGCCTTTTGGGGCTGGGTATGGTGGCAGATGCCTGTTATCCCAGCTATTGGGGAGGCTGAGACAGGAAGACTTTAAACTGGAGCCTAGCCTAGGCACTTTAAAGATTTAGCAAGACCTTGTCTCAAAAAAAAAAAAAAAAAAGAAAGAAAAAAAGAGTTTGGGATGTAGTTTAGTGCACTAGTCTTGAGTTCCAACCCCAGTACCACACAAAAAAATTGAAAATACTAAAAAATAAAGCCTTCTGGGTCTTTCTAGGGCAGTGATGGCGAACCTCTTAGAGCTTTCAATGATATAAACAGCCTGCTGTGGCAGGCGTGCCATAGGTTCACCATCACTGTTCCAGGGAATCTAGGTCAAACTCTTCATTCCAACAGAAGTGAAGTGATCTGCCCAAGGTGACACAGCTAGCTAGCTATTGGGTCCCCATAGGACAGATCCTGTTCTTGCTCCTTACCCAGCCTCCTGCCAGTCACCATGCGCCCACCGTTCTGTGCCTCCATTCTGCCCAGGTGCCTGAGCATCCCCATCTCCTCCATTTTGGTGCTATGTTCAGTTCTGAGCAGTGTATTCTGGTTTTTCTCTCTTTCTCTGTGCATGTGTGTGTGTGTGTGTGTGTGTGTGTGTGCATGCATGCGTTTTGAGACAGGGTCTCATTATGTAGTTCAGGTTGGCCTTGAATTCACTGTGTAGCCCAGGCTGGCTATGTAGCTTAGGGTGGCCTTGAATTTGAGGTGATCCTCCTGCCTCAGCCTCCCGAGTGCTGGGATGACAGGTATGTGCCACCAGGCCCAGCTGAGCAGTGTACTCTGAAATACCAAAGAACTAAAGAGAAGCAGGCCCAAAGAAAGACAGAAGCTAAATGACGTTAAGAATGTCTGAAGAAATGGAGGATGTCTGCCTGAATAAAAAAAAGTTGATGGAATACTGAAACGGTGTCTGGCTGCAGAAATGTCGAATGAAAACCAAGACAGCATTCTTTAAATATCTAAAAGGCACCACACGCAAGGGAGCTGATTTCTTCTGTTTTGTTTTGGGGATGAAGGAGCATAGGGGTAGAAGCTAGTTTAAAACTGCAGGAGGCAATTTCTGTGAACAAAAGAAAAAACTCCCAAAGAGCTTGAAAGTATGCACATCAGCATGGACAGAGGGCCATGCTGGGTCTAGCGTTCCCGCACGGTGCAATGAAGACCTGCATATACCAGTCACAGGACAGGAGCAGTCACAGCCCACCATAACACAGAGGGAGAAGAGCATAAGGATGAATCTGGAGAAGCTACAACAGGCACAGAAGGAAGACCATAGAGATGGAGTAGGGTTCCAGCTTCTGGTGAACTCACACAGGGCTTTAGAAGATACCTTTGCCCAGGTGGCGAAGGCCCTTTGCTACACCCTAGAAAGCTCTTCTGCCGACCCCGTCTCTGTCACCACCATGCTGTACATCCTGCCACTCAGCTCTGAACCTAATACCAGTCTGTTGATGAACACGTGGCCAAGCTCATCCGTACTCGCCTCCCTACCACTTGATTGCTTGTTTGGTTGGTTTGTTTGTTGGTTACAGGGTCTCGCTATGTAGCCCAGGCTGGCCTCAAACTCCTAAGTGCTGGAATTAAAGGCATGTGCCACCAACTCCTAGCTTTGACCAATTTTTGAATGATTTTTTTTTAGACATTTTTTTTTTTTTGGTTTTTCTCCGGTACTTTTTTAGACATTTTAAGGTTTACAGAAACACTGAGTCAATAGTACAGAGTTCCCCTACACATGTCATCTGGTTGCCTCTGTTATTTTAAATATCTTTGCTATAATGAACAAACCGGTAATTGTATCTCTCTGTTACCTGAGGTCAATGAGCTACACATTTCCTGTTCTTAACTTAATGTTATTTTCCTATTCTACTGTCCTACCAGGACACATCATATGTCATTTCCGAATGTCTTTAGGTGCCTTGTGACTGTGGCAGTCTTACCTTGTATGTGATGACCTGAGAGCTTTTTCAGCTGGCCCCTGGGTCCTTTTGATATGTCCCCATCACTGGCATGCCCCTTTCCAGACTTACTTTTAAGTAGTACTAAATGCTCTAAGCTCGTCTTGCTTTATTTCCAGTTCCAGTTCTAGAAGCAACCATTTCTCCAAGGAGCCCATGTTCCTTTCATTGGGAAAGTCAAGATCTTGGCTTCTGCTTCTTTAGATAAGTTCTTTAGAACTTCTTTAGGTAAGTTCAGGTAATGATTTTTTAGATATGAGCCTACTTTTTAGATATGATACATAGCACATGCATCTTCTTTAGATAAGTTCAGGTAATGATTTTTTAGATATGAGCCTACTTTTTAGATATGATACATAGCAAATGCAAAAAATAGAGAAACAATTGCATCAAACTGAAAAGCTTATGGACAGCAAATGAAACAATCAATAGAGTAGAGACCATGTATAGGATAAGAAAATATTTGTAAAACATACACTGATAAAGGGACATCTAAAATAAGTAGGGAAATCAACTTAGTAGCAAGAAAATAACCTGATTTAAAAACAAGTAAAGGACCTAAGTAGACATTTCTCCAAGAAGACACACAAATATCCAATACATATATGAAAAAATGCCCATGATCATTAATCATGAAGGAAATGCAAATCAAAATCTCAAAAAGATATTGAATCACGCTGTTATAAAATGGCTGCTATCAAAAACATAAAAGCGTAAGTGTTGGGGAGGAAATGGAAAGAAAGGAACCTCTGAACACTGCCATCAGGGAAAACAGTATGGAGGTTCCTCAAATAAATAAAACAGAACTGCACAAGATCTCACACGCTCATTTTCAGATATATATCCAGAGGAGACGAAATTAGCATGTTGAAGAGATATCTGCATTTTCTGTGGACGGCAGTGTAAGAGCCAAGATACGAAATCAGCCTAAGTGCCCCTCAATGGACAAATGGATAAAGAAAATGTGGTACATGGGGCTGGGGGTTTAGCTCAGCAGCACAGAGCCTGCCTGGCAAGTGCAAGGTTGTGAGTTCAATTCCTGATACTGGAAAAAAAAAAAATTGTGGTACATACACACAATGGAATACCATCCAGCTTAAAAAAAAAAAAAGAAACAAGAAATCTTGCCATTTGTAACAACATAGATGAACATGAAAGATATTATATTAAGTGAAATAATCTAGGCACAGAAAGACAAATACCACACAATGCTATGTGTATATGGAATCTAAACAACGTTGAACTCATACAAGTACAAAGTAGAATGATCACCTAGGCCTGGGGGTGGGGCAAGTTTTGGGAAGACATTGGTCAAGTGACAGAAAATTTCAGTTATATTAGTGAAATAATTTCAAGAAATCTATTGTACATGGTGACTATAGTTAATAATTATTTATACTTGGAAACTGCAAAGAAATTAGTTATTAAATGTTTTTTTTAATTTTTTAATTTTTTGGGTTTTTTCCGGTACCGGGAATCGAACTCACGACCTCGTTCTTGTCAAGCAAGCGCTGTACCATTGAGCTAAATCCCCAGCCCCCTATTAAATGTTTTTACTATAAAAAAAAATCTGGGCACTAAGTGTGCTTATTGCTATTGAGGTGTCATCTCTTTTAGGCCCTTTCACCTGACAAAGCAAAAGATATATATGTTTATATTATATATATATATTTGTATATGAAACTACTGTAAGTGTAGCTGAGCTAAACTTGAATTCATAGAGGTATCTTCAACTCTAATCCATTACCATATGGATTCATCTGGCCTTCTCTCTCTATGAATTTCCACTCCAACAGTGAGAAATCTATCCCACAACTTAGTATCCATTTACTTAATTGACTCATTTTACTAAACATGCATAGCAGTATGAGTATTAGTAATTCATACTGTCATGGGAAAGAACTTCAAAAACTAGAGTACAAGGTTCACGTATAGTTCCTTTTGCCTTTAGTCTGACTCTCTCCACTCACTTCCAAAATTATATTAACACTTCTACCCCAACCCCTTCACTGAGGTCATTTCATGCATTTGTAACCAGTGGACTCTTGAGTTACAACCAGCTTGACATGAAAAAATTGGGTTACTACCGAAATTTTAATTTTAACTTCAGACCAAAGTCTTGAGTTGTGACCTGAATGCTGGCCACTTGTGCTTCTAGATGGTCTCAGATACACACTGAACCATTAAAAGTATTCTGGAAGGAACATTATAATATCCTTTCCTGTGAGGGGTTCATTGAGAAATCCTGGGCCCATGTCTCTCTAAGGATGCTGAGATCTGCCTGTGTACAAGAGAGAGACTTTGAAGGCCGTGTAGAGGAGCCCGAGCCTCCAACTGACAGCCTGAGTTACAGCCAAGCCTCGGTTGTAACTCATATTAAGTTCATAAGTTAAGGGTCCACTGTAGTTAGATGTCTATGTTCCATCCTTCAATCCACTCACCTCTTAAGTGATGATTTTTCCTTTTTTACAAATTGTATACACTAAGATTCACTGTTTTCCAGGCATGGTGACTCATGCCTGTTACCTAAGTATTCCAGGAGGCTGAGTCAGGAGCATTGCCAAGTTCAAGTCCAACCTAGGCAATTTAGCAACTTAGTGAGACCCTGTCTCAAAATTTAAAAAAAAAAAAAAATTAAAAAGAAAAAGGTAGAGGGAGATTGGGACACAGAACATTGTAAAGAACCTGGGCTTAATCCCTAATACTGCAAAAAGGAAAATTACTCTGTGCTGAAAGTTCTATGGATTTTGGTGAATGCTTAATGCTTTATTTCCTCTTCCAAAGTCATACACAGTATTTTATTGTTCTAAAAATTCCCTATGCTTCCCCTATTACCCTACCCCCGAATTCCAAATTTATAACCACTAAACATTTTATGATGGTTTCGCCTTTTCCAGAATGCCATACAGTTAATATCATACAATATTTAACCTTATAAAAGGTAAACGAATTATTCGGAGAAAAATGAATGCACCTGAAGACTATAATGTGTTAAATGAAATAAATCAGACACACAAGATTAAATATCACATGCTTCCTCTTATATGAGAAAACCCAAAGTATAAATAAAAAGCAAAATTAAAAAACAGACTATCAGAAAGTGAGATCCATCTTCTTCACAGGGTGGGATTAAGAGATGGAGACAGGAGGGGAAGAAAACAGGATGAAAAAAGGAACTAAGATGCACTATGTACATCTGCCAGCTCCACACCAGGAATGTATTAGGTATTGGAAACATGCACCCCCAAAAGGGAAGGGGAGCAAGAGATGGTTGTGGGGGAGAGAAAGGGGATGGAAAAAAGCAATCAAAACATACTATACACATGGACCAATTCCCCACAAGGAATATACTCGTACTACAATCATGTACTAAGAAAAAAATACTAAACAGAAAAAAAGTTTAAAAAATACTTAGCCTTTTAGTACTGTCGGGAGCCATGGAAGCTAGAAAGTAATTACATGTGCAGGACGAAGCCAGCCCGAGACACGGGAGCCCTGAGAACACAGGAGCTTCTGGGAACAGGTAAACAAGCCGCTGTAGCTTGTTAGTTGATTGCTGGACAACGAGGTGAAAATTAACCAACCTCTTGAGGGTATAAATAAATGCTCTATTGTTCTTGGGCAGTTCCCCTTCTTCGGTGAGAGAGAGGACCTCTACCTGATCACAGCTTTTGTCTCTTGTCTCTTTTTTCCTCATTATTGCCGCCGTTCCTTCCTGGGGTACAGCAAGAACCCAACAGATCCCTACATAGTACTGGATTCTTCCACTTGGAAATGCTCACCCCTAAGATTACAACATGTCTTTTTTTTTCTTCTTTTTTTCGTGATACTGGGGATTGAACTCTGGACCTTGTGCATGCTAGGCAAGTACTCTACCGCTGAGCTACATCCCCAACCCTACAATATGTCTTTTCATGGCTTGATATATTTTCTTTTACTGATGAATATTTTATTATGTAGGTATGACACATTTTATCCACTTACCTTTCCATGTAAACTTTAAAATCAATTTATCAATATCCACAAAATTATCTGTTTGGATTCTGATTGAGACTGCATTGAATCTACACATCAGGGTAGGGAAAACTGACATCTTGACAATATTGAGTCTTCTAATCCATGAACACAGATTACTTCTATATTTATTTAAATCTTCTTTGACTACTTTAATCAGAGTTATAGAGCTTTCATCATGTAGATTATTTGTAGGGATCAAACCCAAGGCCTTGTGCATACCAAATCTGTGCTCCACCACCAAACTACATTCACTGTGTGCAGACTCTGAACATGTTTTGTTAAACTTATACCTAAATACTTTGTTTGGGGATACTATTGTAGGTAGCACTGTGTTTTTAGTTTTAAGCTCCAATTTGCATTGCTGGTATAAGGAAAACAATAGTGCTTTGTATGTTAATCGTATATCCTGCTACCTTGCTGTAATCACTTCTTAGTTTCAAGAGAAACTGATTCTTTATAATTGTCTAAATAAACAATAGTCATCTACAAGGACAGTTTTATTTATTCCTTTTCTTTTCTTTCTTTTTCTTCTTTTTTTTTTTTGTGTGTGTGTGTTTTTAAGACAGGGTCTCGCTATGCAGGTCAAGATGGCTTGAGCTCATTTTGTAGCCCAAGGTGGTCTCAGACTCACAATGATCCTCCTGCCTCAGTTTCCTGAGTGCTGAGATTATAGGCATGTGCCACCACACTCGGCTTATTTATTCCCTTTCAACTTACATACCTTTCAATTGCTTTTCTTAATACACTACTAAAACTTTTAGTACAATAAGAGTGATAAGAGGGAATATCCCTGCCTTACTACTCCTGGATTATTGTATTTTTATTATTGTACTTTTATTTTTATTAGTACATGGGGGTAAGTACATCTTAATTCTTTTTAATCCTCTCCTTCCCTTCCTTCTGACTCCTGGATTGCTTTAAAGCATGCCCGAGACATCATCATTTCATCTCTAAATATTTGATATGAATATCCTCAATATAAAGATTCTTTAAAAACTTAGCCACAATACCCTTATCGTACCTTAAAAATCAGTGCTACTTCTTAGCATGACCGGAGAAGGGTGTTTCTAAATTTTTACTCCCATTACTGAACATTCCCTGCCCACTCATGTCACACACTGTATCATGAACAAAGCTCTCTGCACACTTACCACAATTTCTCCTTGCTCCACAGTGTGGATTTTCATGTAGGCCCCCACGGCTGCCTCCTTGGGGAGCTCACCAAACTTGGTTTTGAGCATGGAACACTTGATTGAATGGGAACACTTGGATCTGAAATGTGGCAGCTTGTTAAAGAGAACTCATCTGTAATACAGCCAGCTCATAAGGACAACCAGCCCTACCACACTGCACACTGAGAGTTCCCTTCCTGGGAGAATATCACCCAGAAGGTGAGAAAATGCAAAATCACACTCTGAGAGAGACTGACTCGTGCTGTCAGGGAATTAAGAAGAGTAATAGGGAAGGGACTTGGGAGAAGGAGATAGGGTCCTTTTAAACACCAGTTTTATACAGGGGCTCATGATCTCATGCAGCTAAACCTAACCTGCTTGGACTTTGCAAGAAGTCCAAGCTGGCCAGGCATGGTGGTGCACACCTGTAATCCCAGCATGCGGGAGGCCGCGGTAGGAGGATCGTTGCAAGTTTGAGGATAGCCTGGGCTACAAAGTAGTGAGCTCAAGGCCAGTCTGAACTGCATAGTGAGACCCTGTCTCAAAAAAAGACCAAAAAAAAAAAAAAGTTCCAAGCAAATAGTTCAAGTTACCCAGGAAATGGTTTTGGCTAAGTTGTATTTGACTGAAAGCTTATATGGAGGAAGGGATTTTTATTTATTTATTTACTTTTGGTACTGAGGGATTGAACCCATTGCTTTCACACTAAGCTACATCATTAGTCCATTTTTATTTTGAGGCAGGGTCTCATTAAATTGTTAAGTTGTCCAGGCTGGGCTCCAACTTGCAATAAAATAAAGGAATTTCTAAAATTTTTAAATTTTTTATTTGTTTGCTGTTATTGTTTTGTTGTACTGGGGACTGAAGCCAGGGCCTTCACACTGAGTCCCCTCCCTACCCCTTCCCTCCCACCTTCTTTTCTTTTTTTTGGAGATAGGAGATAATTCTTGCTGAATTACTAAGTCATCCAGGCTGGGTCCAAACTTGCAATTCTTCTGTCTCAGATAGGGTTACAAGCATGCACCACCATGTCAGGCTTGAACAGATGATTCTGAAAAAGGTAAGCTACCGTACTTGGGTAAAACTTTCTAAAGAAACTCAGAGTCAAAAGGGCCTAGCAACACAGAATATCACAGCCAGAAGGTACCTCCTGCCTTCCTTATGTGAGTTACTGAGGCCCTGAGTAAAGTAGTAGCTATGAACCTAAAATGGCCCTGTGAGTTACAGACAGAGAATTCAGGTCCTGGGTCTCAAACCTAGGACTGCTGTAGATTGCCTCATATACATATCACATCCATCCCTTTGGGGTTGGTTGACCTGTGTCTGCCACCTCCGCCCCCTCACTGAGCACCCCTGAAATTCCACCATGGAAGTCATACCCCCTGCCTCCTTTATAACTATATGAACTTTTCTATCTACCAAGAGCTGAGCTTACTTGATCTTTGGGCCCAGCATCCTGGGAAGACTATTTTCTGAGAGTTTTGTTGGTTCACTGAAGCTTATCCCTTGTTGCTTCCTGGCTTCCTGGAGATGCAGAAGTTTTAGAGAGCTGAAGTCCTGTACAGGATATGATTTGATCTGGAATTCCTGAAATCTCACCATAGGATCTGGTTCTGTTAGAAAAAGCACAGGAAAATACATTAATGGTTCTTTGCATATATCATGCTGGTGATGGTGGGAAAGCACCATAATAACTTGCATGAGAGTTAAGAAGCAAAAAAAAGAATGATACTATAGCCTCCATGAATGTCCCTCTGGGGAAGGCTCTGTGCTAGACCCTTTCTATCTGTTATACTCAGACAAGTGTGATTAGCCTAACTGAAGAGACAAGATAACAGCAGGGAGTTCAAGTCCCCCAGCAAAAGGCTGAAGCTTGATTTGAACTCAGGTCTATTTGATTCAAAGCTCATATGCTTTCATTAAGTGATTATGTTTTTGTCTTTTAAACTGGAGCGGTATCAGCAATGAAAGATAAATGGATGATTAGTACAGAAACTTGGTACTGGGGATGCAGCTAGATGTGAAGGCCCTAGGTTCAACCCCCACCACTGGAGGGAGGGAGGGAAGGGAGAGAGGAGAGAGGGAGAGAATGAGGAAGGGGAGACAGAGGGAGGGAGAGAGCTGGCACTACAACACAGTGGTGGACAGTTTATCCCTCAGTACTGAAAAAAAGGGCAGATTGGTGATTGTCTAAGGCCAAAGTTAGGAGTGGAGACTGACTGCTTGGGGCACAAAAGAACTTTCTGGGGTGACAAAAATGTTCTATAACTTGACTGTGGTGATTACTTGGAGGAAGAAATTGGTCAAAATTCACTGAACTACACATTTAAAATGTGTGCACTTCATTGTATAAAAGTACACCTAATAACACTTACTTTAAAAAGTTTTAAAATAACACTTTAAAAATGTGTTTTTTTGTGGGTTTTTTTCCTTTCTTTTTCTTTTAAGTGCTGGTGAGCACTCTATCACTAGCTACATTACAAGTCCTAAAAAGAAATGCTAACAGAAACAAATCTAAACTCCACCTGGTCTGGCTTAATGAGAACTTATAAAAAGCTCTGAAAGCCAGGTATGGTGGTTTACATCTGTAATTCCAATACTTGGGAAGCTGAGGCAGGACAATTCCCATGAGTTTTAAGAATCTATCTGTTTACTTGTGCTGGGTGTGGTGGTGCATACCTGTAATCCCAGCACTCTAGAGCCTGAGGCAGGAAAACCACTGTGAGTTTGAGGCCACCCTGGGCTACATAGTGAGTTCAAAGGCAGCCTGAACTACATAGTGAGACCTTGTCTCCAAAAATAAAAATAAAAAAAAAAGATAATCCCACCAGAAACCACCAAAATAGAGTGAAAAACTGGAAATAAATTGTCTGCAAAAGGTAATTAAATCTCATGATATATCCAAATAATTAAATAAAAGATAGCTACTTCAACACATCATACAGACTTCTGCTTCCAGCCAAGACGGAACAACAGGGATAGGCTTTTCCCTCCCACCCGAAACTATTACAATACTGGACAAGACATGAAAAAAAATAATTTTTAAGATATTAAACATCAGGCAATAAAGGACAATCATCCCTGGAAGGTAAAAAATAGTGGTAATGCCTGCCACTGCCCCAGATTACTCCCCAGAGATTTTCTGGGCTGTGTTGCAGGAGGGGAAGCCCAGGTGTAGCCCCTCAATTTACCTTGATGGGACAGAATAAAGAGTAATGGAGATGCCAGGTGTGGTGGTGCACACCTGTAATCCCAGCACTTGGGAGGCTGAGGCAGGACAACTGCCACAAGTCTGGGGCCAACCTGGGCTACATAGTGAGGCCCTGTCCAGAGAGACAGAGAGAGAGAGACAGAGAGAGAGACAGAGAGACAGAGAGACAGAGAGAGAGAGAGAGAAAGAGAGAGAAATGGAGAACAAGGCAGCTGGAATTCACAAACTGCACCAAGTGAGACAGCTCCAAAGGGCTCCCCATGAGGCTCAAGTGAGTGCTGATCAGGTGCCTCCAAGACAGCACCCACTTTCCCGTATTCACACTCATGTAGAAGCTTCCCCTGAAGTGTAGGCTGGGCTCACTTCTAACAAGCAGAATGTAGCAGCGGTGATGAGATGTTACTTCTGTGATTACGCTACTAACAGACTGTATCTTCCATCTTGGACATGCTTTCGGTTGCTCGCTCTCATTCTTAAAGAAGCAAGTTACCAGGTGATGAAACAGTTGGTGGAGACCCTTGTGAGGCCAGGACTAAGGCCTGCCAGTCACCATGCGTCTACGACAGTGGATCCCTCCCATAATGAGACAACTCTGACAGCAGCTGCCACCTGGTGAGGGATCTTGAGCCAGGAGAACCAAGTAAACTAAAACCATGCCCGCATTTCTGACCCACAGAATTTAGGAGATGGTAAGTATAATTTATTAATGTACCACCCAAGGCTGGGGGAAAAGACCACCTGACGTAATTAGAGGGGTAAGTCATCAGGTCTCAGAGGACCAGAAATAGTTCCTGTTCCTACTAACGAGAACAGAAACCCTCCCAAGTCATGGGTACTGTGGAATACTCAGAATGCTTTTACTTCATAAATGAGTTTTAAAGATTAGCTCTATATTGAACACTGCTCTGATTTCACCTTCAAAGAAGCTATGAATAGCTAGCCTTAAAAAGATCAAATGTTTCCAAGTAACAACTGCATTCTAGAATAAAATTCAGGATATTTACAGCAATAATAAAATAATGCAGAGGCTGGGGATGTGGCTCAGTGGTAGAGCTCTTGCCTTGCATGCACAGGCCCTGGATTCGATCCCCAGCACCACATACATTTTAAAAAAAACAAAAAAACCCAATAATAATAATAAATAAATAAAATTTTTAAAAAATAAAATAATGCAGTGCTCAAACTGCACATTGTCTAGCATCCTAATGAAAACTAAAAAGCATTAAAAACTAATATGAACCACACAAAAAGAAAAAACAAGGAACTGAAATTGACCCAGAAATGACACAGATGACAGAATTAGTACACAGTGAAACAGCTATTATAACTACATTCCAAAAGAGAAATACTGTGTATATTAAGCAAAGACATAGAAATTATGTTTCCTGAAAAGACCCAATCAAACTTGAGGATATGAAAACCACAGTGTCTGAAATGAAAAATACATTAGATTGTATGAATAGACTTTAAAATGCCACAGAAAGTGGTAAACTTGAAAACACAGCGATAGAAGGTACCCAAAACCATAGAAGAGTAAAAATGGAGCATCGATGAGCTGTGAAACGACTTCAAGCAGTCCAAAGCAGAAGAGAGGGAGACAGTAAAAAGACAGGAAAAATAACAGCCAACAACCTCTACATCAGATTTTTATTTTTTTATTTTTTTACTTTTATTTTTGGTTTTTTTCAGTACCGGGAATCAAACTCATGACCTTGCACTCGCCAGGCAGGCACTGTGCCACTGAGCTAAATCCCCAGCCCCTAAACTGTATTTTTAAATTATAAATCCAGAGGTCCAAGAAATTAAATGAACCCCAAGCAAAGAAATCTAACAGACCACTGTGTTCTCTCTCCATGGGGGTCCCCTCTCATGCTGTAAGGTATACTTCTCCTGTCTTTACTCGGCTCAAACTTGCTCTGCAGAGCCTCTTCCTTTTCCTACCTTTAGTAAAACTTTGCTACCATTTAAAAAAAAGGAACATGACCAAACCTAAACCAAGCCATAATATAATCAAACTACTTAAAGTGATTGATAAAAAGAAAAAATTTAAATGAGCCAGAGTAAAAAGGCACAATGTGTAAAGAAGACACACAAAGTTATTCAAAGAGTTTATGAAAAAAAGTGTGTTATTATGGTGCATGCCTGCACTCCCAGCACATTGGAAGGCTGAGGCAGGAGGATCATAGATTTGGAACACAGGCTGACCAACTTAACAACTTAGCAAAACTCTGTCTCAAAATAAAAAAATAAAAAATGGCAGGTGTACAGCTCAGAGTGAAGGCCTAGGTTCAGCCCCCAGTAACACACACCAAAAAAAGAGAAATAGAATGTTATTAGATTTTTTGTTGATAACAATACAAACTGGGAAACAGGCTAATACAGCATCTTTTAAAATATTGAAAGAAAAAATCTGTTAACCTCGAATTCTATACTCAGCGAAAAATTCTTTTAAAAAAGAAAATAAGGCCAGGTATGGTGGCATAGGCCTATAATCCCAACACCTGGGGGAGCTGAGACAGGAGGACTGCCATTGAGATCAAGGCCAGCTGGGGCTACACAGTCAGTTCAAGGTCAGCCTGGACTACAAAGTGAGACCCCGTCTCAAAAAGCCAAAAAAGAAAAGAAAAGAAAATGAAGAATTCACCAACAGACCTGAACTATAAGAAATATTAAAGAAAGTACCTCAGGAAGAAGAAAATGGTACTTTATGAAAATCTGGATCTACACAAAGGAATGAAGAGCATTAAGAAATGATAACCATGTATGCTAATAAAAAGCACTTTTCTGCTCAATGTGGTGGTACACGCCTATAATAGCAGAACTTGGGAGTCTGAGGTAAGAGTATTGCTATGAGTTTGAGGCCAGCCTGAGCTACAAAGTGAGTTTAAGGTCAGCTTGAACTGCACAATGAAACCTTGTCTCAAAACACCAAAAAAAAATTTTTAAGAAGATTGTTCTTATCACTTAAAAATAAATTTTTTTTTTTGTACTGGAAATTGAACTCGGGACCTTGCACTTGCCAGGCAACTGCTTGTGCCACTGAGCTATATCCCTGGCCCTAAAAATATTTTTTAAATGTTTGTTTAAAGGAAAAGTAATAACTATATATTTTAAGGTTTTTAACATATGAAAGTAGAATATCTGACATAACACAGTATCTTACAGGAAAGAAATGGAAAAATATACTGTTGTAAGGTTCTAACTCTATATGTGAAGCAGTATAATATCACTTGTAGGCTATGATAAACTGAATATATAATAAACCATAAAGAAATCATCAAAATAACACAACAGCCGGATGTGGTGGCACACATCTATAATCCCAGCACTCAGAAGACTGAGACAGGAGGATTGCTGCAAGTTCAAGGCCAGCCTGGGCTACATAGTGAGTTGAAGGCCAGGCTAAACTGCATAGTGAGACCCTGTCTCAAAAAGATAAAAAACAAACAAACAAACAAAAAAATCCCACAACAAAGAAATAGCAAATAAGCTAAGAAATAAGATAAAATATAATTATACAAAATAAATCAATAAGGCAGGGGAAAAAGTAAAAGGGAGTATATGGAACAAACAGAAAATAAATAGCAAAATGGTAGGTTCAAAACCCAACCATAATCAATAATAATATTAAATATAAATGGTCTAGACATCTCAATAAAAAGGCAGAAATTCTCAGACTGGATTTAAAAAATAAAAATGAAAACAAGACTCAAACACACACTGTCCCCTCCCTGCACCTTTTTTGGTACTGGAGCTTGAACCCAGGGCCCTCTCACAGAGCTGTATTCCTAGCCTTTTCCCCCAATGAATAACTTCTTAAATTTTGTTTTGTTTTGTTTTGTTTTTTAAGACAAGGTCTCGCTGGATAGTTTAGGCTGCCCCTGAACTTACTATGTAGCCCAGGCTGGCCTTGAACTTGGGGCAATCGTCCTGCCTCAACCTCCTGAGTGCTGGGATTACAGGCATGCACCCCCATACTTTGCAACTTTTTAAATTTTGAAAGTGAAAAAAAAATTTTTTTTGAAAGTGTCACTAAGTGGTTAAATCTCCCACGCTGGGCTCATATTATCCTGGCTCCACTCCCCAGAGTGCTAGAATTAAAGGCCTACACAACCGCACCCCACTTAAAAGAAACCATTTTAGCTGGGCACGATGGCGCACACCTGTGATCTCAGCACTTGAGCAGTTAATGCAGGAAAATTGTGAACTCAAGGCCACCCTGGACTATACAACAAAACCCTGTCTTACAAAAACAAAGGAGGAAAAAGAAAAATTTAAAAAACCTACTTTAACTAGCTGCAGTGGTACATACCTGTAATCCCAGGTACTCAGGAAGCTGAGGCAGGAGGATCACAAGTTCAAGGCCAGCCAGACCACATAATGAGTTCAAGCCCAGCCTTGGCTACATAACATGATCCTATCTCAAAATTTAAAAATTAGAGAAAGGACTGGGGATACAGTTCAATGGTAGCATGCTTGTCTAGTATTCATAAGACCCAAGGGGTTGAATCCATGGCCTTTGAACTAAGCTACATCTCCAGCTCTTTTTAATTTTTGTTATTCTAAGAAAAGACCTTGCTAAATTGCCCTGGCTAGGCTCACACTTTTGATTCTCCTGCCTAAATCTCCCAGAGTGCTGTGATTACAGGTATGTGCTACCACTCCTAGCTTAAGCCCATTTTACTTTTTTTTTTGAGACAAGGTCTCTCTATATATTCTAGACTGGCCTTGAATTCACTATGGAGCCCAGGCTACTCTTGACCTCAAAGCAATTCCCCAACTTCAAGCTCTGGAGGGCTGGGATTACAGGCGTGTGCCACTATGCCTGGCACTGAAGCAGAAGACTAGAGTTTGGCAAACTGGCTGGGGAGGTGGGGAGTAATCTGGTAATTACATGTTCCAGGACACATGCGCAGGATGTACCCAAAGCCCTATCCTGGGAGCCAATTAGAGAGTACTACCTTCAGTCTCTCACATGAGAACTCAGCAAGTTTTCAATAGCACAGCCGGGACCGAGGTCAGCCTGAGGAATGGAAGATACAAAAGGACCACCAGTGAGCTCAGTACCCGAGTTCTCTCTTCCACTGCAGTCCGTTCTCATGCTGTCAAGCGTGCTTTATTTCTTACTTTTATTTGGCCCAAATTCATTCTGCAGAGCATGTTTCTTTTCCTATCTTTAATAAACATAAAACCTTGCTACATTTTGTACTTGTCTTATCCAATTCTTTGTTCAAGACAAGAAGAACCTAGAAACCACCTTTGGAAGGAGACCCCAGAACCCCAGAACCTGGTGAGAGCATGAAGCCCATTTTATTTTATTTTATTTTATTTATTTTATTTATTTAATTTTTTTCCGTCTTTTTGAGACAGAGTCTTGCTACACAGTTCAGGCTGGCCTTGAACTCACTTTGTAGCCCAGGCTGGCCTCGAACTTGCAATGATCCTCCTGTCTCAGCCTCCCGAGTGCTGGGATTACAGGCGTGTGCCACCATGCCCGGCATGAAGCCCATTTTAAACATAAAGACATAAATGGAGTTAACATAAAAGGATGGAAAAAGACACTGCAAACCAATACTAATCAAAATGAACCTAAATTAAATCAAAAGGAGGGATTAAATTAATATCAGAACCTAGGCATAGTGGCACACATCTGTAATCCCAGCACTCGGGAAGCTGAGGCAGGAGGATCACTATGAGCTCAAGGATAGCCTGAGCTACTTAGTGAATTCAAGGCCAATCTGAACTACATAGTGAGACCCTGTCTCAAAACAAAACAAAACAAAACAAAACAAAACAAAACAAAACATCAGACAAAGTGGGTCCCCAGCACAAAGAATATTGTCAGAGACCAAAATGTTCATTTTACAGTGAAGAAGAGCTCAATCCTAAACATCTATGTACTCCCTAATAAGACAGCTTTAAAAGCCAGTGTAGTGATAAATACCTATTATTCCAGCACTCTGGGTGACTGAGGCAGGAAGACTGCAACACTGAACTCAGCTTGAGCAACCTAAGACAACTTAGAAAGACTTTGTCTCAAAAATTAGAAAGACTAGAGATATAGCTTAGTGTTACAGAGCCCTCTGGCTTCAATCCTTGGTACCAACAAAACAAAAGAAAGCCTTGATAGAAAGCCAAGGAAGGGCTGGGGGTGGTAGTGAAGGCCTGTAATCCTAATCAGGAGCCTAAGGCAAGAGGATTGTTGTGAATTTGAGGCCAGCCTGGGTTACATAGTAGTTTAAAGCTAGCCTGAACTACGTAATGAGAACGTGTCTAAAAAAATAAAAAAAACAGGCAGGCGTGCGGCGGCACATGCCAGTAATCCCAGCACTCCGGAGGCTGAGGCAGGAGGACCCTTGTGAGTTCAAGACCAGCCTGGGCTACAAAATGAGCTCAAGAACAACCTGAACTGCACAGTGATACCCTGTCTCAAAAAGACATAAATAAATAAATAAACACAATAAAAGAAAAATATACAAGGTATGATACAAAAATACAGTGTTTTTAAAAAATTGTTATAGTAAAAGACACATTGCCATTAATCCCCCTTCAAAATACTCATTTCTTCAAACACATTTATGCCAGCATTTTCACCACTTTCTGAAGCAGTTCTTGAAGTCCTCTTTCTTAAGTGTCTTTAGTTGCACTATCGCGGCTGCCTTCAGAATGTCCTGAATTAATTCAAAACGTTTACCTTTCATGGTCATTTAGACTTTGGGAAGAGCCAGAGTCACATGGAAAAAGGAAAGGAATAATGTGATAAACTGTTTGAAGTGAGGGGGAGTATTTTGAGGGGAATTAATGGCAATGTCTTTTACTGTAACAATTTTTTAAAATGTTTAAATATTCACCATATTTTTCAATCACTCCTTGTATCTACAATTGTACCTGGAGATTTTAACAACCCTGTGTATTCACAATTTATTGTTTTTTGAGACAGGGTCTTGCTTTGTAGTGCAGGCTGGCCTTGAACGCACTGTGTAGCCCAGCCTGGCCTTAAGCTCTTGCAGAACCTCCTGCCTCAGTTCCCCCGGTGCTGGGATTACAAGCATGCACCACAACCTACTCTGTTAACAACTGACAGAGCAAGTAGATAGAAAATCAGGAAGGATGTAAATGGTTTGACTAACACTGCCAACTTCACCTGATAAACATCCACAGCATGCTGTACCCAGTCACAGCATAGTTTTTTCCAATGCAAATAGAACATTTAGCCAGACAGATTATATTCTGGGCCACAAAACAAGTTCAAATATATTTAAGAGGATTCAAACTACATAAAGCACATTATCACAGAAACCCATGACAGAAAGGTAGCTGGACAGTTCCTAAATGTTTGGATACCAAGTAATACCCTTCTATATATTCAATGGATCACAGAAATGCAAAGGGAAGTTGAAAAGTATGAACTGAATGACAATGAAAACACAACATATTAAAGTTTGTGGGATGTGGCTTTCTCTCAGGGGAGAAAAAGTAATGCAGCTCCTGAGTTTATCCTCTTAACCACAATGAAGAAACCCTAAGAGCTCATGAGAGCTCCCTAGTTACGAAGTGGGAGCTCTGTTTAGCTCTAAGCGACCCACAACGACACACAGCAGCTAACATATTTATCCACTGATTCTGTGATTCAATTCTGAATACCTGCCAGCAGTCAGATGGTTCTAGGCCTGATACCTAGTCCATTAGAGAGCTTAAATTCTACCAAGACAGATGGATAATTAATAACCATTTCATATCCAATGATACGATTTCAACAGTTAAATAGCACAGAAGATAAATACAGGGTACTTAAATGGAATACATAGTATGGGTGATGGCGGATGCTGATCCAGCATGAGATCTCAGAGATCATTCTCTGGGGAAAGGACGTTCACTCTAAGATCTAAAAAGCAGGAGAGTCTCTCTCTCTCCCTCCCACTCCCGCTCCTCTTCCCTCTCTTGCTGTTTTGCTGTCTTCTGCAGCCATGAACTGTTGCCCCTCTGCCATGCGCCACCCTGCCTTGAACCCAGCAGATTATGGACTGAAACCTCTACAAACTGTGAGCTAAATAAACTTGCCCTCAAGTAAATAAATAAATAAATAGCAGAAGAGAGTTGGGCATAAAAGGGTGGGCGGATTGGGATGTGTGGGGCAAGGAGGAGGCGGTCACATGGCAGAGCCTGCACAGTGGAAGGGAGGAAGCTCACGAGGAGGCTGAAAAGGAGCCAGGGCCTGTGGACCGGGTTTCTGCAGCCTTAGAAGGATCAAATGGGACATCCTGTCTGGCCCTTGAAGTTCTAGAGGTAGAAGTGGAACCAGGACAGAAGCCCCTGCAGTGCTGCAGGCCACCTGATGCGGCCGCCTGGCTTACCGTTGACGTGAGCGCTCAGAGGTTTGTCATCTATCAGCTCCAGATGTTGCCAGACCCACTTGTAATAGTAAGGGGAGCTCCCAAGGTCTATCAGCCGCAGCACTTCACAGCTGCCCTGGACACATCAAGAGATATAAATAAAAGTTAAACCCCAATGCTTCAGGCAGGCCAGGCTTTGAAAGTAAGTTCTCTGTATTGTAGCAGACTCCATTTCATTTCATTTGCTAATGGAAGTTGTTTTGTGTTCTTTTTTTCTTCTTCTTAATAAAATTGCTATCTACTCATCACTAAAAAATGCAAATAGCCGGGAGTGGTGGTTCATGCTAGTGATTCTAGCACTCCGGAGGCTTAGGCAGGAGGATTGCTAGTAATTCAAGGCCAGCCTGGGCTATATAGTGAGCTCAAAAGCCAGCCTGAACTACATAGCAAGACCCTGTCTCAAAAAGCCAAAATCAAAACAAAAACAAAAACAAAAAAACCCTAAGTACAGTGGTGCCTTGGTTCACAACTGAATTTGTTTTACAATTTTTGGGAAGATGGCCATGTGCATGTTTGCATGAGGAAGATGGCCACAGTAGTGTCTGTCACCAGTGTGGAATTTGTGAATGGAAGCAAAGTTCTGTCACTTTTGTTTGAAAACCGAACTGTTTGCAAACAGAAGCGTTTGTGAACTGAGGTATTACTGAGCAATGCTGGCACTAGAAAAAAAAATCACCATAAGGACATTGTTGGGATAGTTGGTAAAAGTGATTACGACTACGAATTATACATCCTACCAGTATTATAATTCCCTGATTTTGATAATTATTCTGCGGCTGACTTCTGATCTTATAATCACTAATAGCTGGGCGCAGTGGAACGTGCCTATAACAGCAGCACTGAGGAGGCTGAGACAGAAGGCTCTTGAGTTCGAGGCCAGACTTGGTTACATAAAGAGTTCAAAGCCAGCCATAGTAAGACCTTATTTCCAAAAAAAAGTATACAGAAATAAATGAGCATAATGATTTTATAACGATTTTGGCAGGGAAAATATAAAAGCAAATATGACAAAATGTTAACTGATGAATTTCAGTTAAGGTAATTCAGGCGTTCTTTGCACTGTTCTAGCAACTTTTTCTGTAAATTTAAAATTATTCTAAAATAAGCAAAACAGAAGAACACAAAGTTAAAACTATATTAATCTGAATGGCCACAAATAACTACTTCAAACTTTTCTCTATGAACATATAAGATGTTTATATACCAGTTTTCATAACTGGGTTCAGGGATATAAAACAAGACTCTTGTAACCTTTTTAGAAACTCCATAACATATCAAGAACATATTTTCATTGTTCTACATTATCATTTTAATATCATATATTATTCTAAATATGCTATACTTTATAAAATTAAAAATAAGCATTCAGTTGAGCAAAAGAAGTCAAACATAGTATCTATGGTGATATGAGAACGGTTACCTTTGTAGGGGAATACTGTCTGTAAAGGGCCAAAAGAAGTCTTCTGGAGTGCTAGAAATGTTCTTCATCTTGATTTGGTGATGATTACACAGGTGTATACACACACAAAATTTATCACGCTGTCCAGTTTAGATTTGAAATCTTTACTGAGTATGTATTATACTTAAGAAAACACTTTTTCAAGATTCATAAGTGGTGGTTTCTAATATGTTAGTATTATATATAAGCCCAATTTTATACAGGACAAAAATCACCAGTTTAAGAAAACAACCAAATCACCCCTTTCCCAAACTCATCTGCAGTGGGGATGACAATGACTCAGTTCTGGCTGATGAGATGTAAGTGAAGGATTGCTGGATAGAACTCCAAGGGAAACTATTGCTGTTCCTGCTTCTCTCTGCCTGAAACTCAGATGTGACAGCCAGCAGTGTGACAGCCACACTGTAAATGTTAAGATGAAAGCCATCGCTATGGATTATGAGGAAAAGCTACAAGGGGCCTGGGTTCTTGCTGACTTCCCAGAACAACTGTTCCAGCTCTGGAACACTGAATTCTAGACTATCACATGAGCAAAAATTAATTGCTACAAAGCCGGGTGTGGTGGTGCGCACGCCTGTAATCCCAGCACTCGGGAGGCTGAGGCAGGAGGATCGTTGCGAGTTAGAGGCCAGCGTGGGCTGCAAAGTGAGCTTAAGGCCAGCCTGACCTGCATAGCGAGACCCTGTCACAAAAAGACCAAAAAAAAAAAAAAAATTAATTGCTACATATTAGGCATTTGCAGTGGGGCTTCTCTCACCTACAGCAGGAAGCAACATATTCTATACAGATCTCTTAACTCCTCTAGCAGTCATTAAGGTAGTTCACAAATACTCAAGTCTTCCTCCCAAGTACACGGTAGGATTCTCCTTTTCACACTTTGAATTGGGCCTGGCCTTATTTGCTTTGGCCACTTTCCTTAGATTTCCTTAGGAAAGGGACCTGGGATGCTCTGGGTACAATCTTTAAAATCTCAACATTCCTTTCTCCTGTCCTACCTATTAGTGATCATGAAAGTGTGGGTTAAGGTCATTTCAAAGCAGCCGGTTCCCCTGACTTCCTGCTACGGGCAAGTAGTGAGATTCGTTACTCCACTGAGACTTAAGAACTGTTTGTAAGGGCAGCATAACATTGTGTATCCTAACACACTGCCCACACTTGATTATCTTTTTGGGAGTAATTCCTAAAATATGCATGCTTTACATTTTGATACCTACTGCCAAACTGTCCTTCAGATAGAGCCAGTTACATCGTTGCCAACACTGGTTTTCATACTTTTAAACTTGGCTGATCTGACAGGTAAGAAAGATACGTCATTTCTCCTTTTTATTTCCTACCTTTATAAAATCTTACCCCTTTTCTGCTGGGTGTGGTGACACATGCCTGTAAGCCCAGCACTCGGGTGGCTGAGGCAGGAGGATCATCTGGAATTTGAGGCCAGCCTGGGCTACACAGCAAGATGATGTTTCAAGCAAAAATAAAAATAAAAACAAAACACAAAACCAAAACCAAAAAACAAGCAAATTCTTACCCCTTTTTTAGTAAGAACTCTAAGAGATACATTGTAAAGGCTTAATGTTCAAGACAGATTACTATTGGCAAGGAAGGAAAGAAAGGAAGAAACATTTAATAAGCCCATATTATATGCACACATTGTGCTTGAAGCTTTATTCAACACTCATTCAACAAACATTCATCACCCAGAAACTGCAGGTGTTAGGAGACCAAAATGCCAAGTTTCCTCTTGAAAAAGTCTCTCGTGGGTCTCTAATTGTATCTGTATCTGTGGAGAGAGCTGCTTCACTACGTATCCCCAAGTGATAAACAGCTCAGAATGAACTGATTATGGACATTATGTTTGCAATACCAGCAGGAAATTGTGTTTGCCAACTTTACCAGGTCCACAGAACATCTAGCCACCAGCTGCTGATTTTGTCCTCTAGTGGCAGCACAAGCAAAATACAGCAGTTAGAACTGCTGGGTTTTGCTAAGGAAGAAAATTCAAGGGAAAATAAAAATGAGAAAAAAAGAGCAATCCTTTGAGAATGGGCAAGGGCTTTTCAATTCCAGGAAGAGGTGGGCACACTAGAATACAGCTTGTTGCTTCCTGTTCTAAATTCTCAAAGCTAGAAATCAGACTTTGCATGTAAAATCTTCACAGTAACAATTAAATCAGCTGGGTGTGGTGGTGTAGCTGGGTGTGGTGGTGCAGGAGGCTGAGGCAGGAGGATCACTGCAAGTTCAAGGCCAGCCTGGGCTACATAGTGAGTCAGGGCCAGCCTGAACTACATGGAGAAACCTTGTCTCAAAAATAAATAAATACATACATATATGCATACATCAGACTTTAGTCAAACACTATCATAGACAAATAAACTCATCTGCTGGCCCAAAGCCCTCCTACCTGCTGATACTTTATGACCTCTATTACTTTTCTCAGAATAAGGGCCAAGCAGTCCTGTATTAGAATGACCCATAGCACTTACTCCAGTGCAGATTCTGGAACGAGAGAGATTGATTCATTACCAATCTCTTTTTTAGAATTAAAAACAAAAATGTGAAAAAAGAAAAAAGTGGGAGGGGTGTAGGGTTTGAGACCAGGTCTCTATACGTAGTGCAGGCTGACCTCAAATTTGTGGCAATCTTCTTGCCTCAGCTTCCCAAGTACTGGGATCACAGGTGAGCACCACCACTCCTGCTTCCCCAGTCTACTCTATTCTCCATAAATGTAATGTTATTAAATCTTATTTGTGATCCACTGTTTATTTCTCACCTTCACATGAATTATATTCACTATATTGAAATTACATGTATGTCAGAATTTCAGTTGTTCATCAATTATTAAGTTCTACATTACATCAAATAACCGTTCCTAAATACTGCAAGGATATTTCCTAAAAGTCCTTCTTTGCAAGGTAAGGGCTGCAGACCTGGCCCACTTTTTTTTTTTTTTTTGAGACAGGTTTTGTTATGCAGTTCAGACTGGCCTTGACCTTACTATGTAGCCCAGGCTGCCCTCAAATTAATGGCAATCCTCCTGACTCAGTCTCCTGAGTGCTGGGATTATAGGCATGTACCACCATACCCCGATCACTATTTTCTTAAGACAACCAGCAAAGCCATAAACCAGGAGCTGATAGGGTATTTGCTGATTTTCACTGTGTAAATACTACCACCATGGCTAATTTCAAACTACCAATGTGAGGTCACTAAATGTGCAGTTGGGAAGAGATGTATACACTTATACAGAATTTCTAACATGTAGTTATTAAAGATACAACCTCAAAGACAGAGATAATAGTAAATTCAGCAACATTAGAAAATGAGCTCCCAGGACTCAGTAAGCTTGTTCCTAATATAACTTATTTAGTTGTAGGCTGATACCATTTAATTTTAATAATTATTGTATCTACCAACCCACAACATTCCTGAAAATTTAACAATCAATTCTTGTGGGGAAGTTCAAGCAACTCTGGAAGAAAAGCAATTTGCCCCTTCCTTATGGTTCAACACATCAAGGTTCATCCTCCAACTCACCTCCCCTGGCACGCTTTTTTTTTTTTTTCTGGCACGCATTCTTTAAGGCCGCCATCTTCTAGAGAAGTTTCCTCTCCTGAATTCTTAGAACTTGCAGTTTCCATCTACTACTTAGTACTTAGCATTGACAGCTTTGTCCATGCTCAGAATCCAGTGGAGGAAGTATACAGAGAGGGAGTTGGTCTTCTCCATCTTTGCATCCCTCTAGACCCTGTACCAATATGTCATGACCTTGGCAAAAACTTAACAGATGTCTGTGGTGACCTAACATGTAAGGCACTGACAGAGAGGTCAACTTAAATCCCAGCTCCCAAGAAGAGCTCTGGAGTCAAACAGATCTGAGTTCATCCTTGCCTCCTTATGTCCCTCATCAACTATATGACTTGCCATAGTGACTTAGCCTTCCTGTGCCTGTTTCCTCTGCTGTAAAAGTGGAATATGACCCTACCAACCTCTTTTTTTTTTTTTTTTT